GAGCAGGTGTGGGTGAGCGGAGGGACAGGCTGGCCAGGGGCCGATGGGGTCAGGTAGGGGGTGGGTGATGCCTGGCGGGTGGCTGTGGCCAGGGGCTGAGCAGCGTCGCGGTTGGGAGGGGGCGGGTGGGTAAAGTGGGATGAGATGACGTCGGATGAGTGAGGTGGGGCGGCAAAATATCCAGGTTGATTGATAGATGCTGAAGAGGAGAGGCGGGGTCAACTTTCCGGTGCTGCGCAGGGGTCCGGGGCCCCGGCGCAGCCGCCATCCCACAGAGGCTCTCGCGCCCGCCCCCGCCAACCCCTAGCGACCAACCCCGCTCCCTTGCAGGGTCGTCCCCTCCAGACAATGGCATCCCGACGACCAACTCTGTTCCCAACGAAAGTCGTCAAATCTCGAACAGACACCGAGTACAACTGCTCAATCTGGTGGAGCAAATCTTGTTTCGAAGTGTTGGAGTGCAATGCATACAGCAACATGAAGCCCGGTTCCAAAGGCCGCGCCCACCTGCCCAGGGCCGCCCTTGCTGCGCCAGCCGGGAGCAGTGTATTCTGACACCAGCGTGTCCCCGGGGATGAAGGCCAGCTCAGCAGGGTAGGCGCGGCCTGGGGCCAGGGCCGGGGACCGCGGGAGGGGGCAGCTTGCATTAGGGAGGGCGGGGGCAGGAGCGGAGGGGGCCATGCAGGGTCGCTGTGCCGTTGGCGACGAAGGGCGGCGGCTTGTTGAGAGGTTGGCTGCCCCCAGCAGCCACAAGTCCGTGAGAGGCGCAACGAGGGCTCACAACAGGGGCTCGCCGTCCCACGGCTGCGCACTCAGCCGCGCCGCCGTGTGTCCCCGCCCCAGCCCCGCCCCAGCCCCGCCCGCTCACCCGTGAGCCCCGGGTAGCTGCCCAGCGGCTTCCCGCCCTTCCGCTCCTTGCCCTTGCCCTCGGCTGCCGCAGCTGCCGCCTTGGACCCCTTGCCCTTCGCCTTGATCAATGAGGCCGCAGCCAGCGCGGCCAATTCGTCGCCCAAGTCCCCACCCCCCTCGCTCGTGGCCGCGCGCTCCGCTCGGCCTGCACTCGGCGGCCCCGCGCCCGCTTTGCCGGCCCCGCCGTCAAGCCGCGGCCGCCCCGGCTTGCGCTTGGGCGTGGCCGCCTCGCCGCTGCCGGCCGCCGCCGCCGCCGCCCCGCTGTTGGTGGCGGCCGCGGGCCCCGCGTCTGCTGCGAGCGAGAGCTTGCGTGGACGGCCGCGGCCGCGCTTTGCGGGCGGGCGCTCCAAAGCTGGCGGTCGCCGCTGCTGCTCTCCCTCCTCTTGCGTCGCCTCCGCTTCCGCCTCCACCTCTCGCTGCCCTTTTATACCCGCTTCCCGCCCCCGCTGTCCCTCCTCCCCTCTATCCGCCACCACTACCAACTCCCCTCCGGCCAGCCGCGGCCGCCCGGGCTTGCGCTTGGGCATGGCTGCTTCCTTGTTGCCGGGCGCCGCCGCCGGCGCCGCCGCCGCTTCGCTTGGGGCCGCCGCCGCGACCCCCGCCACGGGCACGAGCTTGCGCGGACGGCCGCGGCGCCGCTTCGCGGGCGGCTGCTCCAATGCCGGCGCTCGCCGCTGCTGCTTTCCGCCCTCCACCGCCGCCGCCGCAGCCTCGTCCTCCTCCCCCTTCTCGGCAGCTACCCGGCCCTGCGGTCCCTCCTCATCATCACCATCCACCACCACAACAACCTCCTCCTCCTCCTCCTCCTCCCCCTCCTCCTCCTCCGCCTCTCGGCCCCGCCTCTTTCCGGCCACCGCGCCCTGGCCGGTCCCCTTGCTGCCGCTGCGCGCCGCCCCGCCGTCCTCTGGCGCAGACTGCGCCGGCGCCGGCGGCGTCGACGCAGCCGGGCCGCCGGCGGCCGCCGCGCCGTCGGCCCGGCCCTCCCGCTTCTTGTTCAAGGGGTTGCCGGGCAGGGAGCCGCCGCCTCCAAGGGCGGCCAGGGCCTCCTCTCCGCGCGCGCGCTGCTCGTCCTGCTGCTGCTCTGGCAGCGGGTGCCAGCCGTTCTGCGGGCGTGGGCGTGTGGGGGATTTGCAGGGTGCGCAAGTGGGGGATACGTCGCGATTTGCCGTGAAACCACACTCACCTACACACACACACACACACACACACACACACACACACACACATGAACTCACACGAACCCGCAGCTGCCCCACCTCCTGCAGCGGCAGCGCCAGTTGCCGTATCTCATGCGGTAGCCTGGGGTGGTCCACAAACCCGTCCCGCATCATGCCGCGCAGCTGCGCCCAGCTGGCCGTGTCCCCCTCCCGCAGGTTGTAGTAATCAGGGTACCGCCAGCGGCCGGCGGCGTCCCGCCAGGCCACCTGGGGGCCCAGATGAGCGGCAGAAGGGATCTCAGAATTGGGAAGGGGGGCAGCTGCACACATGTTTCCCCAGCCACGCAAGTCCGACAGGCGCCGCCGTGCGGACTCACCGTGAAGCGGCTCTGGTTGTCGCCGGGCGGCGTCAGGGTAGCCATGGCATTGAACTCCGCCAGCACCGTGCCGACTTCGTCGCGCCCCCCCACTGTCCGCTGCAGCTCGCGGCCCGTGATGACGTGTTTCCAGTGCTCCCATTCGGGACCTGCGGCTGCGACGATGGTGCCGAGCGCGCGTTGTGGACGACGTACGGGCCGTCGAGGCGGTGCGCTCGGGCAGCAGGTTCGCTGGCGGTTGTTGGGTAGCGGCAGCAAGCTAGGATTGTTGCAGGGACGTCGTGCGTGGCGCTACCGGCTGCAAACAAGAGGCCATGCACCTTTCATTTCCGGCGGTGGACGATTTTTGGGCATCGTTTTCGGCCAGGGGAAAGCGCGTAGAGAGCCCGGTGATGCTTTGGAGAGACGTCGGTGTTGTCAGAGTGGCGCCGGCCTCTGCACCTGGGCTGGCATTCAATGAGCTCTGAGAACTGTTGTGCGTGAAGACGTTTCTTGAATAAGGGCAAGTCGCATAGATCAGATCTTGGGATCGCGCCCGACTCTAGGTTCGCACGGTTGTAGGTTGATATATACTCCGAAGTGATACTCTATGCGCGCCCATGTCCGTGCAGCACATCCTTGCAACAGCTGACGCCACGCACGGTCACCGCTGGGTCAATCAGTCACAAATTATGCACTATATGTGCGTGTCCAGTTCATGGCTGACAACCACCTTGGACACTGCCCGTACATGATTCCAGTGAGCTGGCCAGTATGGATTTGAGATACGTGGCGTCGTGACACTGTGCATGCCTGCGGTCCATCGCGGACCCGTACAGGGCTGGGATGCGCAGCATGCTAAGGGGTTCCTCAGCCCAGGACCATTCTGATTGTCCTCTGATGCGATGTCTTGATGGGTGCATGCAACAGAGGCTCAAAGCACGTCTTAAATCCCTATAAATGCTACACTCGCAATTTCTGAACAAATTGTAATTTGTCCAGCAGCCGTTAATGGCAGCCGGGCATCGGGCTCACTCAGCCGCCGGCACTGCTTTGGGGACATGCCTGTTGGACGGCGGGCACTGAATGGTGTAAGCATGCAGAGGTTTAAAATGCTGTAGCCAACCCTTGCTGCTGCCGCTGCTGATTTGAGTGGCCAAGCATCTGTGGATGCGTCATTCGGTGCATTTGGAAGCCTGCCGCCCCAAAAAGAGGCTGCCGCGCCTTGTCGCACTCTGTGGCCACTTCGTGGATTCGTATTAGGATGAAGAGTTTTGATATCTCGCCCGCTTCTGGAGTCTCCGGCTCACGGAATTGGACAATAAAACGTTGATCAAGTGACTCAGTGTCAGGCGGCCGGCATGCGCCATTCAAAGCAGGTGTGTGTGCTCACAAGCCCCAGGTGCTGGCAAGTGTGTTCTGCGCACAAATGCGCCTGTGCGGGCTTGTGTGGCAGGTTCATTGACACGTGCACAAAGCGCAGCTCAGAAGGCATGTCCGCATACTCAGAGCAATCAAGCAAAGCATGGTTAGCACTTGGGCAAGGCCCAGGCCGTCGCAGTGGGGGCGATGGGCGGGTGGGGTTGTGGCCACACTACCGTGGTAGTGTGGGGTGGGCGACGCTGCAAGGGGAGGGGAGCAGCAGCGCAGGCGCACGAGAGCCCATGCGTGTTGGCGGTTC